GTCCACAGACAGACGAGCGGATGAACAACGCGGGGTCGATACACACAGCTGTCCACAGACAGACGAGCAGATGAACAACACGGGGTATTAAGTGAAACTAGCCAGTCACAAAAGGACAAATACTGTATGATTCCACTTATATGAGATACCCAGAATCGTCAAATTCATAGAGACAGAAAGCAGATTAGAGGTTACCAGGGGGGGAGGGGAGGAGTCAGTGTTTAATGAGTACAGAATTTCTGTTTGGGATCATGAAAAAGTTCTGAAGATGGCTAGTGGCGATGGTGGCACAACATTGTGATGTACCTAATGCCACTGAATTGTACACTTAGTGGTAAATTTTATATTATGTATATTTTACCACAATTAAAAAAAATTACATGTGATCCTATAAAATAGTTTACCCAAAGAAACCCCCAAACCTTTCAACCACTTTCCCTTGCAGTGACTTCCTACTGTATTTGCTGTCCCTGTGCAGCAAAAACTGTAAGCTGCCTGTTCTCACAGCTCTGCTTTCTCTACCCTTCGCTCCTAAGCCCACTCTGATCCCGATTTGCCCCTACCATTCCATGGAAGCCACTCTCGTCAAGGTCAGAAGTGACCTTCACATAGCTGTACCCCATGGTCAACCCTAAATGTCATCGACATAGTTGGTCCCTCCTTCTGAAGGCACTGCCATCATGGGGCTTCCAGGACACCAGCTTGCTGGCTTGCCTCTGGCCTCACTGGTTGTTCCTTCTGTCTCCATTGCTGATTCCTCTTGTCCATGAGCTTTTCACTGGGGAGGGCCCCTCTACCCTCACTCCTTTGGTGATCCATCCCATCTCATGGTTTTAAATACCCCATCTACATGCCGACAGCTCTCACATTATCTCCAGTCCAGGCCTTTCTCCTGTATTTCAGATCCATATATCCATCACCACTTAGAAGTCTAATGCGTATTTATCTCAGACTTAACATGTCCAAAGCTGAGCTCCCGCTCTTCCCATAGACTGGTGCCATCCATGGCTATTGCACCTCGCACTGACCCACTGTTCACCAAATGTGCCTCCCTGTGCTTCTGGGCCCCCAGCTAGGCCACATTTCCCTCTTGCAGTTGGGTGTGGCTATGTGAATGGGCAGAAGCAATGTCACTCCTTCCAGACTTGGCCCACAGAAACCTACCACTTGATCCTCCACCCGCTCAGGGCAGTTGTGGAAAACACCGGTTAAAGATGGCACAGCCTCTGCCAGCTGAGCCCCTCACGACTGGCGGAGCAGAACCCCCAGCCCAGCTTGTGCCAGCGGGACTGGAGGTGAACGAGCGATAAACTTGTTAGGTCAAGCCTCTGAGAGTTGAGGATGGATCTTTCTAGCAGTTGGTGTACATAACTGTTCTGTGCTGTCTTAGATTCTGGATTTGTCTATTAGGCATCCAGTCATCACAGAGCCAATTATATTAACTCTATTTTCTTATTTTCTGTATTCCTGATGCTCTGGCATTTGTGGCTCTCCTGACTGGGAAGACATTGCCCCTCCTAGAGCCAGCCAATTCTTAGAGATAGCAAAGGGCTCCCTACTCTCCAGTATGCCTTTCATATGCAAATAACCAATCAAGAGCCCACACCTTAGCCACCTCCTTATCAAACACACACCAAGCCAACACCTCCCTGCCCTGATCAACCCACAGCAGGGACCAGACAACTGGGGACAGCCTCATGCCCCAAGGCCCACAGGAATTATTCAAACTAGCCAATCCTAAACTGTTTGCCCTGCCCTACCTGGCCTCTCCCTCGGGAACCCCAGGAAAGACTCTGCTTGGCTTTCTTCTCACTCCTTCTACCTCCTGGCCAAAACCCAGCGCTCCTCCTGTGGCCCTGTATGGCCTGGCATGCACCCTCCTCTTGGGAAATCTACATAACAAAAATCTTTCAATGGCATTGGCCTCTCTGTGTCTTCACTCAGTCACTTCCATAAATTAAAATTCCAAAAATGAGACAGTCAGCTTAACTAACACAGTGGCTACACCATCCTTCCAAAAACCTTGGAATTGCTGTGAACTCTCTTGCTGTTACACTTCCTATCTAGTCCATCGGCAAATCCTCTTGGCTCTATCTTCAAAACACATGCAGACGAGGACCACTGCTCACTTCTCTGCTGTGCCCATCGCCTCTCTCTGGGTTTGCCGTGGCCTCCTCACTGGTCTGTGCGCACTTGCCCCTTTCAATCTATTCCCCATCCAGCAAGATCCCGTAAAACCAAAATCAGATCATGTCCCTCCTCTGCTCACCTCCTCCAATGACTCATCTGTCTCTGAGTAAAAGCCAAAGTCCTCATCATGACCAACAAGGTTCCACAGGGTCTGACTTTCCTACATACCCCCAATGCTGTCATCAACTCCTACTACTCGCCTCCTTGCTGTTCCTTTAGCACAGCTGGCTCACTCCCTCAGGACTTCTGCATGGGCTGTCCCCTCTGCCTAGAATGCTCATCCCCACACATCTGCTTGGCTCACTCCCCCACCTCCAGGTCTTTGCTCAAATGTCACCTGCTTAATGAGGCCCAGCCTGATCATCTTTTTACCAATTGCAACTGGCACCCTGCCCCAGTCTGGCACTCCTCGTCTCCCTGGCTCTGCTTCTTTTCCTGTAATGCTTATCACTTAACATGACATCTGACATTATATGAATTCTTTATTATGTCTATTGTTATGATCCCCATACCAGCACCCACCCTACCCAGCCCTGCCGGCAAGAACACAGGCCATTCTCGGGATCTGTTGTGCAAGGATGCATCCCGGGAACACAGAACAGCAATGAGCACACAGTAAGTGCTCAGGGCTATCTGCTGAATGAATGAAAGCCCTGATAAAGAGAAGCACTGACGTGTGAGAGGACACGGCTGTTCTTTCTCCTTATTTTCCAAGGACTTGAAGTTCTAGAAAGGGTGAAAGTTTCTACTGGCTCTGTCCACACACAAGCCAAGTGTAGCAGGCTGGCATTGCTATTTTGATGTAACACTACAGATGTTACGTAGGAACATTAAGGCTACTAGTGTTGCTGGAAGCCTTCCTCTCATCTCGATAGGAAAGGCTCACTTCATCACTCCAACTCTCCTGCATTCTGGAGTCACCTGGGAACTTGAAGGCACAGGGAGGTTGTGATAGAACTGGTCTGGGGTGCTCAGACAGAAGAGCTTTAAATAACCCCCCAGGTGATTTGAATGTACAACCAAGTGTGAGAGGCACCACTCCAAGTCAGTGCCAGCTGGAGAAGGTGTGCGGGGCCTCAACTGAACAGTTCTGGAGAGGAAAGATGACCAAATGTAGGGAATGATGAGGCCGGCTGAAAAACCAGAAGGAAAAAAGTGACAAGATAACCTTGAATTTTAGCATATGCTTCCCTACAAAGGAAAAACCTTACATGTTTTTCCTGCTATGTACAAATAGGGAATTTCAGTCCTTAGATGTTTTGGAAGAAAAATCTGGAGGGAAAACCTGCTCAATTGGAATCCAATTTTCAGGCACTTTTTTCTGTGTCAGAGCCAGCCTGCCTGTGTCATTACTGAGCCATTTTAATGCTTTCCTTGGTGCAGTTCACATCAATGGAGACAGCACTGATATTTATAATTTCCTCTTTGTCCTGTCTTGCAGTGGGTTTCACACTTAACATAATCTACACATTTTCTACCATTTCTATGGATGGCTTAAAAGCAAACTAATGGTAAAAACTGGGGATCTAAGAATTGAGATATGAAAGGGGGGTTTGCTATCTGTGGGGACCAGAAAATGCCAATTTCCATTCTATCCCAGACTGTTAGTTCCTGCAGGGCCGGGAGCATGGCTTGTTTCTGCATTACTCCCAACACCTAGTATGGCACACTATACATAGTAAATATTTTGTAGTATTGTCAAGCAAGAATAACATTCTGTAGGTGTGGAGGATTTTTCCAGTTAATAAAATGCTTTCAAGCAGAACCCCCTTGAATCCTCAACAACTCTCTGCCCAAGTAGAGGTCGTTCTCTCCACTTTCCAGGTGAGGAAATGGGCTCAGAGAATTTGGCTGATGCACAGAAGTCACGTTAGGACTTACAGGTGGATCTGGGAGCGAGAACCCAGGCATCCACAGCTCCTTCCCCTCCACAGAACCACCAGTAAATGGTGTCTTCAGTCGTAAAAATCCAGCAGTGTGAACAGTCTATTCCTTTGAGATGTGATTGACACCACATCTCCGGAGAACGGAGTTTAGTATCACTGTTCAAATGACGTGAGATCAGATGATAGTTTATACACGGGCCACTTTGCCCTGACGTTGATACAAGTTCCCTTAGCATTTCAACTTGCTTAAAATTTCAACCTTTTCAACACTAAAAATATTTCCTCAAAAATTCAAATGGTGTTTCCAGCCCTGTTCCTTGGTGCTGCCTAGGGAGGTGGCATCTGAACTTAGCACTGTAACAAGAGTGCAGGGTGTTCTGGCACACTAGTCAGAGCGGTTGTCAAAAATCAAAATCAAGCGTACCAGGCTGGGTTACGGCCCTTGGCCACAAGGTGCAGAGAAACCAAGGGCCAGAACTTGCCACTGACGTCGCCTTTAGGATGTTGCTGGTGCAGCTGCTCCAGAGCCGAGTCGCTGTGGGGTTCGGGCATTTCCTCCAAGGACCAGTCTCTGTCCGCATCACCTGTGCCGGCACCAGACCACCAAGCAGGCAGTGAACCTATAGCTCCGTTTGCATTTTTTCTGTGTTAAAAAAAGGTATAAATACTGCACACATGCAAAAATATGCTTCCACGTGTCTGAATACAGAAATTAACAAAATGGAGCTCAAGTATAAGCGTTGAGTGGCTGACAACATCTGGAACAAGGAGGGAGCAAGGACATGGCACTGAATCAGGCCTCGCCCGTTCACAGCCAACAGGGGTCTCAGGGTCTCAGGCGGCCCGGAAACCTCCATAGACACAAGGCCAGAGAGAGGGCTGGTTTCTTCCAATAGAATGGTTTGATTTAGAAATAGGACAAACTCACTGCTTAAATACCTTTATTATTTTTTAAAAATTATTTGGACATTGATAGCTCTGCAAAATACTTCTCCCATCTCGAACCCTCAAACCCTTACCACATGTCCTCCCTAAAGAAACAATATATTCATACTTTGCACCCATTCAAATCTAATTTTTAAAAACAGGTAAGATTCAAAATCAAATATTACTTTCCTTTCCCAGAACTCGTTAGTAATTTTAAACCACAATGCAACATACTTAATGGCATTTCTTTTCAAAAATTAACTTATCAGACTATTTTATGAGGGAAAAAAATCAATTCAAGGCCTTATAGAGAATATAAATTCCCTGTTTCTGAAAGCAAAAGACATTGAGAAGCCCCTTTGCTCCCCTGGAGTTTGTGATTTCCACGTTACCGACAGAACCAGCACACAGATGGACTCTCTACTTCAGATGAGGCATTGCCTAGTTACTTTTGGACTGCAGCTGAAACGCTGTAAAGTTTAAAAGGATGGGTGGGTGGGAAGGGAAAATTCCAGCACAGAAGAGAGACGAGCCTGGGACTGCAGCATGGAAGCTTTGTGAGCAGTGGAGTAAGGAGAGCCCGATCCCTAGGGCCCCTCCTCATGGCAGGTTTGTTTGGGCTGGAGGAAGACAGCAGACAATCTGCAATCTGCACTCATTTCTTAATGATGAGCACAAGTGTCGACCAAAAATATTGCACATAGTACCAGAGGCATGTAAACCCCTGAGAAGGTTCAGGAAAGGATAACCACAGGTGGGATGATCCCCAAAGTTCCTTTGGGAACTAAGAGAAAGCAATGGAGTCGATGTTGATCGTTTGGGAGTTACTAAGAGGTGCAGAAATGATCCCTTCCCTATCCTCAATGGGCAGATTTTTACACGAACATCTTCATCACAAGATGTGTCCAAAAGATCCAGTAAAGGTACCACTTCCTCATCTCCCCCCATACAACCGGTGCACTTCATTACCTAGCTAAAAAAGGAAGGAGGAAATCCCACAAGAGAACCTGGCCCATCTGGCTAGCTGAACACCGGCAACATTTGCAAATGTCCTTCCCTGCCCACTCGACTGACCAACCGACCTCTCAGAGCCACACGAGGACCCAACAAGCTCCTGTGGGTGACTTCACCCCTCAGTGCTCTGAGTGGGGCCCGCATCCTTCAGGGAATTTGCAAAACTCGGATATTTACGAGCAGGCGTGAGAGGAGGACTGAGGTGAAATGAAACGGCATGTGCTGCCTAGAGAGAGCCGGCACGGTGCCACTGTCTCCTCTACTCTTAGGTGACGCCCATCAGCTAAAGGGAAGCTCTGGCAAGTGTCATCTCATTACTGTGCGATCAGCTGGGTTTGACCAGAGCCAGCCATTCTGTTGCCTTTGAGTTTTAGAATCAAGAAAACATTTCTGCCTCGTCTCAGAATGGAATCATTCCCACTGCAGTCACTAGGGCAACTTCTTAGGGTTCCAGGGCCTTGACCTGACTAGAAGGGTCTGACTAGAGGCTGCACCTCTGCACAAAGCCTCCTGACTACACATCCTGGCTGTCCCAACGCCCACTGACTACTTCCCTAAATCTTTCTCCTTTAAGCCGTCCCCTAACACTCGATCTCAGTAACACACAGTACGTGCCATGAAAAGGAAAGTCACTTTTTAAGAATAAAAGATTTCCCCACCATCATCTAGACCAGAGTTTTGTTTTCTTACAAGCCCATGGATTGGCAACCTTCAGCTTGTTTTGCTCCTGTGGGTTACAACGCTGTCTTCTTGTTAAAGCTTTCCCTCTTGTATCTGAGTAAATCTTGTAAACCACCAGAAAATGCCACGCGCCGCCCCCCCCCGAAAACCCTGCCCATATCTGTGGGCTACAACTGATGCCAACCTATTAAGCTTTTTAAACATTTTTAAAAAAACAAAAACAAAACAAAAAACCACACACACACACTTTGGCACGTGAGCCTTGCGTGATCTGAGCGTGTTCATGTTCCCACCGCTCCCCGTCCCAACATTTCCGAGTCGCCATCTCAGGAGAGCGGCCCCTTCTGCCTGATGGAAAAGGTCACCGTGAAGCACTACTGTTTTGAGTAGCAAAAGGAGGAGGTACAAATGCTAAACTGGCCCCAAAAACAGTTCTCACGTTTAGCACTATAATTTACGCAATGCTGCAAAACTTTTGTACCAGGATGACGAGTTTCAAACTGCTGGTTGATTAAATATACATTTACATATAGATATAGATATAAAAATTACTACGTCAACATTTGCTGTTTTCAATGTGAAAACGATAAAATGTAATTCTGAATAACTGCATTTGCCATAGGGTCCTTGTTAAAGGAACCATAAAAATAATTTTGTAATAAAAAAACTCTTTTTTTTTTTTTAAAGTTTAGTATTGCCCTCAAGTTCAAAAGTTTGGAGCAAACGTGCTGAGTAAGCATGACTGGAATCTGTTCCTGCCAGGGATCTGGAAGCCTTAAATTTAAGGATCCCTGACGGCAGGCCCAGGGAACCTGCCAGCTGCTGACTAGCTTGGCGTGAACATCACAGGGCCGGGCAGCGCCAGCTGACCCTGTGAAGGAATTAGCCTCCGCCTCACGTCTCATTGGCAGGTGCCGCTGCAGCCCGCCAATCCCTGCACAGAGCTCTGCGGGGCACACACGTGCTGGAGCTCTGCCTTCTCTTGAGCTACCAGACTAAGCAGCTGGGGAAGCGAGGGGGCCTGGGGCCTGAGTGGGGACCACTGAGCACCAAGGCTGAGGGTGACCGAGGCTCTGACCTTCTACTCGGCTGGAGGAAGGAAGGGGCATTTCAGTGATGCAAGTTAGCTGTGCAGGACGGAAAAGTGCATTTAAGGTAGCTGAAAAACAGATGAAGCCCGAACTGCCACAGAGAGGGAGGGAGAGCGGAGGCCGCCCCCTTCCCCCGCCCTGCTGGGCGGCCATGCTCCTGGGATTCTGTGGGTTGACATTCATGCTTCTGATGCGAGTCTGCTCATGGAGAAACAGGAACAGACGTCCTCCGTTCCGGCAGGTACACAATTTTCTTGGCAAAGTTCTTTTTTGCCAAGTTCAGTTTTATTTGGCTGCTTCTGAACCGCTGTCACCGGAACTCATAGATGGGTGCGCTGTGCTCGGGAACGTGCGTTAGGTTGAGAGACTGATACCTGCAATGCGGGAGACAGACGGGAGGCAGTCGCCTAAGCAGCCTGGACCCAACGAGGGTGTCAGAAAACTCCCCGCCCCGCCGCCTCCGCCGGAGCTCCCGACACACCACACTCTTAGAGTGGAATGCAAATCCATCTCAGGCTGCCTCAGGTGAACTGAGTTTGGGTTTATTTCTCTTTCTTTGGTTATTCTCCCTGAACTACACAGCAGATGAGCTGCTTTCAGGCCTCTGCTCTCCTCACGAAGCAATCACAGGGCGTCTTCTAGAGCAGAGGCTGCGCAAGCTCTGGAGCAGGACGCAGCTTCCTGAAGCCCTGCCCACCCCGCCCTTCGTCTGCCCACCGTCCAGCATCACAGCTCCTTCTGCAATGTCAGGCTGTGAGAGCCTCAGAGCCCCATGGCCAGCACAGCCGGATCCTAATTCTCCCAGCATAACCTGCAAAGCACTATGCCATGTGACAGAAGCCAGACACAAAGGCCTATAGTGTACGACTCCCCTTACACAAAATATCCAGAACAGGCAAATCCACACAGGGAGAAAGTAGACCTGTGGATGCCTAGGGCTGAGAGGGCATGGGGAGGTGGGGGTGACAGGGTTCCTTTTTGGGGCGATGAAAATGTTCTACAATCGATTGTGGGGATGGCTGCAAAACTCTGTGAATCGACTAAAGCTCACTGACTTGTACACTTTAAATCAGTGACCTGTATGGTATGTGAATTATATCTCAATAAAGTTGTTATTTAAAAAAGGATATGAAAAGTTTAAAAACTCATCTGAGAACAGAACAGCTACTGAAACCTAACAAGTGGCTCTCAAGGAGCCGAGACCACATGGAGGCCCAGGGCATTTGCTTGTGGGTGTCATTTTGCGGCCACTGAACAAGGAATTTGAGCCAGCCCAGAGTAGCATCATTCACAAGTCACCAAAGTGTGAAAATTTGAAAGAAAATCAAGTGTTTCTGCGTTCAGAGAGGAAATCAGGTGTTTTATGATATGGTTTGCGCTTCAGGTAAAGCAAGGTGATCACACAAGCAGCGAGGGGGCAGGAGAATGCCAGAAGGTGACAACAGCTAGCACCTGAGGTGGCACGCAGTCCTCCACCTCTGGTGAGACAAAGGGGACAACTGTCAGCTCCCATGAGCCCCTAGGCCAGCAGACTGAAATCAAGTACATGTGGGACCAGCGTCTGAGGAATATGACCCCAAAATTAAAAAGGCTGCTGACAGCAACATTCACTGCCACAGATCTTACATTTTAGTTACTGAATAAATTTGGGAGAAATAAATACAAAACTAGCAAGACTGAGATAAACATCATTGACAGTCTAGCACTGCTTGAAAGCACGTGGCAGTGAGTTCCCTTATCTGGTACTCCATTTTCACCCTGTTTACTCTGCTCTGTGGCTAGGGATGAGCCCCTAGCAGGAAGAACCGAGATCATTTAAAGAAGTGCTCTCCAAATAGAGCAGGAAATCTACGCAGAGACAGGTGGGGAGATTTTCTTTTGGATTTGGTGAGGGAGGGAGAGCCGGGCCAGCCAGCCTCGGCGGCGGCCTTGGGGTCCATACCATTCTGAGCTCCTGTGGTAATAGTAGCCCTCTATGGAGGCTGCCGACCTCTGGAAGCAGATGTAGTAGAACCCGGCAAAGGAAGCACCACTGATGTCTTTGATCGTGTGGTCCGGGACCAGGAACTGCTCCTGCACACAGATGGAGGGGATCAGTAACAGACGCCTGCCCCAACCACCTCTGGGGCCTCCTAGTTAAGCTTCCGGTGGTTCTAAGGTTCCACTACCACATGGTCCAGCCAGCACTTGCTGGGAGATGGTGAGCCTCTGTGTTTCAACCCGACTTGTGAGTAGCATTCATGTGCCACTCGAGTAGTCTACATACTAACGCAGCAAACTGTGTCTTGAGCTCCTAGGATCAGCAACTGAAAGTACTGTGATCCAAACAGCTCACAGATGAATCAACACCTGCATACCTTTCAGAGCCCACAGTGAGAATGGCCCAGGAAGAACAAGTTTCTGCTCCACCCCTGAAACTGTCACTAGGTTCCTGATCACCTCTAAAACAGTAGGCCACTTCTGTTGGCCTGTGGATTATCCTGAGGGTGGATCAATCATCAGTAGCCCCCGTAATACCCCTCAAAATGCTCTCTACCTCAACAGCGGCAATCTGAATGGTACTAGTCTTTTTTTTTTTTTTTTTAAAAGACAGGCACCTGAGCTGACAACTGCTGCCAATCTTTTTTTTTCCTGCTTTTTCTCCCCAAATCCCCCCCAGTACATAGTTGTATATTTTAGTTGTGGGTCCTTCTAGTTGTGGCATGTGGGACGCTGCCTCAACATGGCCCGACGAGCGGTGCCATGTCTGCGCCCAGGATCTGAGCCAGTGACACCCCGGGCCGCCGAAGTGGAATGCACGAACTTAACCACTGAGCCACAGGGCCGGCCCCAGAACGGTACTATTCTTGATCGGGCACCTTATGAGAGGCAAGTTTGTTATCTCCAGCTACAGCCAAGAGTTGTAAAGGCCACATCCTCATACCTACTCTTCCTGAGGACATGAAGTCAGAGGCCCCAGGGCCCTAGGTCTACTAAAAGCCCAAAGGGGTGTCACCTGAGAAATTCTTAGGAGACAAAACCACTCCATCGCTCTTTGATTTTAAGATGCTCTCCCTTCCCTTCCTCAACCTGTGAAGCTGTAATTTCTAAAATGAGAACCTCACGAGATACTTCCTTTAATAGGTTTATTTAGTTGGCATATCTTCCACTAGATGGTCAGCTCGTGAGGCCAGGATTCAGCATTTACTCTCCACACCTAGCAACTGTCTACTTAAAGAGTGATGATGCCCGCCCCCTAAAATTATTAGCTAACCAAAGTAAAGATTGGGAATGACTACCCTAAACGATTCGTCTGTATGAAATCTGGCAAGACTTCAAGATAAACAAGCTTTTTCCCACAGACCGGGGACTACTGCTGGGAAGTGGGTGTGTGTTCAGAGTGATTTAACAAACTTGCTTCATGATTTGCTGTCTTGTGGCTGTAACACATAACCATCTTGTTATCAAAGCAGGAGGCATAAATGACTCCTCAGCCTGAAGCCAATCCATCCAGATGGAGTGGAAAACCCAAATTCCATTCCTGCTCCCTCATTTCCTGAGCTGTCGGGAACCAGAGGAGCTGAGACTGAGCCCAAGGGCAAGGACGTGGTGGAGGGAACAGTCACTTAAATGGCGTCTCAGCCCCTGGCTGAGAATAGGGGATAAAGGATGATTGAATTCAGAGAGTTTGGCTCCGCCCTGAATCCAGAGAACACTTGGGATGGTTCAACCTGGAGGGTCAAAGGGCTTCTTGGGTGGGAGAAAGGAAAGGGAGAAGACACAAACAACAGTGTAGAGGGGGAGCAACCCCCAGGCATGAATTCATCTGCAAACCATCAAACAGGTTAACCAAAGAGAAACCGTCCGGGATGCCAGCAGTTAACCCGTGAGCCCTGGAGCTGTGTCTGCTTTTTATGAGTAAGTAAAGACTGCCATGAAAATAACCTGTAACAAGCACTGGACACGGGAAGCGGATTCAGGGTGGGGGCGCTGGCATACACTACAGGAGCTGGCGCAGTCAGAAGACGACCTCGGAGCAGGATCTTACCTTCCACCTCATGAAGACATAATCCCCATTCTTCAGCTCTTCGTAATCAAAATCATCTGAATTAAATGATTTTGCATACTGATAAAAAGCCAGAAACTTGCCCTGAAAGCAAAAAAATAAAGTATAAGAATTGATCAACAGAGGGAGAGGCTGGGGTCAGGACACCCTTCCGTGCTCAGGTCAATCGCCTTTTCAAAGGCGCGACAGCTGGTGGACGCGGCGCCGGCAAGAGCAGTGAAGGCCAGGATGGAGACAGAGAACTTCGGTCACCCCAGTGAACTCAGACCTGGACTCCGGCGGAGGCCCCACTGGGCTGCGCCTGCCTAAGGCCCAAGGAGAAGGCTGCAGGATAGAAATGGGGCTTTTACTCAGAACACCCTACTACAAATAGACAAGCCAAGAAATGAGCAAGAAGATCTCTGTAAGTAAATCAACAGTAGCAAAGAGTCACGCAGAACGGCTCAGAAGCAGCCTGTGGAGCCTCAGGGGAGAGTGGGTTTAGTCAAGTGGGGTCCTCTGACATAATACAGTGGTTTGGGGCCAGCTAGTTAAGTAGAAACTGGAAATGGGTAATATATGGTTAAGATAAAAAAAAAAAAAGGAGACCAGAAATAGGTTACAAAACTATATTTTATGATCCCATTTTTGTACCCCCTAAAAATAATATATATCCAAAAGAGATTCAGGAAAAGGTTAACACCTGTGTTAGCATCAGGTGTTTTCATTAAAGATAATTTTTTTCCTTTTGCTTTTTGGTTTTTCCAAATATTTTTAAATAAGCATGTATTAATTTTATAAGAAAACATCTTAAATAAAAAGATACAAAGATATTAAGTCATAGAATTTGACACATAGCTATTTTTATTCTAAGTAGATAAAACAGATGGAATCTTGACTTTATAGTACCACTCTAATACCAACTTTAAATACCATGCAGGAAAATTTGAGGGTGAAACACAGCATCTCTGATTCCAGTTTACAATGGAAAATGATGCCATCAGTCAAGTTTATTAGACACTGTACATTCCTGACAAACTAAGGCACAATACAGAGCTCCGAGTCCCCTGTGGGGATCTGGGAATCCTAGTAGGTGGGGAAAGTTGTGGAAAGCAGGGAGGACCGCAGAGGAAGCCAGAGGTGCGGGGTGAGGAACAGCTGCGCGCCCAGCTCCCTCCTCCCACTTCGCTCAGCGTGCCAGCACCAAGGCTGGCCTCCTAGCCCCTCTTTCACTCCCAATATTTCAATCCAGTCTAACAAAGCCTGGAATCCCAGGTGTCTTTCAGGGTTCTAAAGGAAGTCAATGAGAAAATTAAGAGTGTTTTCCTAGTACTTAATTTGCAGCCAAGCTAACCTAAAACAGGGTTTTCACCGGGCCTCAAAGACCTTGGTTTTCGCAGGACCAGTCTGAAATGGAAAACAGGGTTGAATGGGAGACAGGCTGTGGTTCACTACGAGGAAGATTTTTCTCTTTGGGGCTGACCAGGAGAAGAAGGGGCCATCTCAGGAGGTGGCGCCGTGCAGGCAGAGATGGCATCAGGCAGGGTGGGACCAGACGGCACCAAGGAGCCCTCCAACTCTGTTTTCTGACACTGGCACCATCATGCACCACTCGGCTGTGCTAACCGTCTAGATACTAGGATCTTTTTTTGTTTTAAGATTTTTTTTCCTTTTCCTCCCCCAAAGCCCCTTGGTACATAGTTGTGCATTCTTAGTTGTGGGTCCCTCCAGTTGTGGCATGTGGGACGCCGCCTCAGCATGGCTTGATGAGCGGTGCTATGTCTGCGTCCAGGATCCAAACCGATGAAACCCTGGGCTGCCAAAGCAGAGCATGTGAAGTTAACCACTCGGCCACGGGGCTGGCCACTGGATACTAGGATCTTGTTCGTTCTCTCATGTTATAGAGACACAAATGACTGTCTAACTCTTAATGTCTATTTGCTATAACAGTCAAAACATGTAGCTTTCAAAAAATGCTTTAAAAAGCTCAAGTTTAAATTCAATTGAAACAGTATTTGATAGATGCTCCTTTCCTAACTCAAGTAAAAAACATTAATAAACAAAGCAGCTGGGGCCAGCCCCATGGTATTGTGGTTAAGTTCAGCACATTCTGCTTCAGCAGCCTGGGTTCCTGGGTTTGGATCCCAGGTATGGACCTACACCACTTGTTGGCCCTGCTGTGGCAGCAACCCACAGATAAAGTGGAAGAAGACTGGCACAGATGTTAGCTCAGGGCTAATCTTCCTCAGGAGAGGGGAAAAAAAAAAAAGCAAAGCAGCTAATCTACAGCGACATTAACTCAGACAAGAGTCTGCAGTAGGAATTCTCCCCAAGGACTACTCTGTCAGAATCAGGATAGACCCGTGCCAGTGTGAGTGTGAGTGGGAGGAAGGAGGAGTTCCACAATCTTCATTACTAACACAATCATTTCCGGTTGGTTTAGAAGGTGAGCACATTGGACTTCCTTGGTGTTAAAAATTCACAATCAGCCTGGTTAACTAAGCCAAAAGGCTATTATGATAGGCTGAGAAATGGATTTTTGAGGCACAAGACTTGAATGACAACGGATGAAAAGACTTGAGGACAGTAACTCTCAGTAGTCCTGACGTGTTCGTTAGTGGTGATTGAGAACACGCTCCACACTTGACAGTTAAAAGGGGAGTGGCTAGACTTTTCAGTGGCACCCTTAGAGAACTTAAGTTAAGAGTGTGTCTCCTCTACCAGGAGCTCGGATGAGAAGAAGCCTCCTGTGGCAGTGCCCACAGGGACAAGCTGACGGGAGGGGCGGGTTCCCAGGGACTGGCCTCTCACCAACCCTAAAGTGAGAGGCCATTACTATATGTTTCCCAGGGTCTCCCTAGGCACAGGTGATTAGAAGGGGACAGTGCACAGGAGATGGACAAATGGTTAGAAAGGAAGGGGATAGTGATTAAGATCCTGCGAGCTAAGTTCCTCAGCTCCCAGCAGCCCCTGCGGGGCCCAGAGCAGATGAAAGACTTTACTCACCCAGTGTTTCCGATCAACGTCTTCATCCGCATCCCACTTTCGAGTTAAGAAAGGGTGTTTTTTGCTGATTATTTCTCCTTCAAAGAAGGTCGTAAGGGTTGGATACTCCTATAGTAAAAACCCAAATATCAAAACAAGATGTTGAATAGGAGTTTAACCTTTCACAAGTGAAGTACCAGCCTTGCTTTAACTTCTTCCCAACACTCTGACGAACACAACCACACTAAGAAACAGCCCAGACCACAGTGCGGTCTAGGGGCGTGCCGAGGGCTGTGGAGGGGCCCACAGGGGGCTCTTGGGCTTCAGGGACTCTGCCAGAAGCAGAGGGCCCTTCTGTGACTTCACTTGTTGTGTGTTGATCTCTAGAAAAGAATTTGGACAATTCCTACAAGTAAATTCTGAATATCCTAGCACACAAAGCAGACGATAACTTAGTAGGTTTTACTTTCTAAGAAAAATACCCCAAGAGTCTCTAAAATCACAGTGTCAGAGCTAAGTCTCCCGCAAGCCGTAACCTGGCCCAGTGCTTCTCCAACTGGCTCAGGGGTTTGTCCCTTTTACACCATGAGGGGCATTAGCTGGTGTGCCCCTTTAAAAACCATGTGTCCTTGAGGCTCCTGTCTGGGCTGTGCGCCAACACTCACGATGATAACAGTCCTGGGCTTGGCCAACCCAGCTGCTTTCTCGTGGGAGAGTTAGCACCAAGACCCTCACGGTCTGAGGGAACATGGAGGCCCTCCAGGGGGGCTCTGGTCCTCGGAATGCAGGTCATTCAGGGATGATCCCCCTTGGCAAGCACACAGCCTTTGTTCCTCTGCCCACTTAAGCCAGCTTCTCTCAGGGGGCAGTAGTGGGTGCACACCGCTGTCCAGCCAGCCACCACTGCACCTTCCCTGTAAGTAACTCCCAATAAAGCCACACGTCTCGTTCGCTGTCTCCGGGTCTTTTCTCTGGAGTCTCAGCAACCGATCCCGCACTGCTCACCCAGATGGGTGTGTGGTAGAACATTTGGTGAGCCAGCCAGAAGCCAGAAAAAAATCGCCTCATCGCCAAGACTATGAGGGATGGGAAGGGGAAATCGGCAGGGTAATCCCGGGTTGGCTAGTGTCCTCCCTGTGGGGGCCAGTCACCACCACCCTTGATGGATGGGGCCCACTGTGTGAGTACGGGGTGGCCCGGAAACGCCAAAGGGCCTAGGGGCAAGTCCTGGGCATGAGAGAAGCCCAGGCCATTGCTACAGCTGTGGAGTAGCCCCTCTCCACTGCAGGAGGCTTGCAATGAAGGCAGGGAAGTTCTGGGCAGGATAAATGACGAGAGAAAGAAATCAGAAGCCCGGGTGGTAGCTGCTGCAGTGGGATGGCCCCTTCTTACTGGTGTTCACTTAGCAACAGAAGCCAAAATGGAAACTAAGGTGAAGGTGAGGCAGCTACAAGAGAAATTAAAATTAGAAAGGGAAGCACGCTGGTTCAGGTCAAACCACCAAGGCTCTGTCCACACGCCTGTGGGAGTCTGAGGAGAGGACAGAGGTCTGAGCAGCCCCGACCGGCAGGGGCGGGTCCTACCACCTGCCTCCGCCTGTTCAGCAGGTGCATTCCCCCAGGAGGCGCTCTACTGCCGCAGAGCTGTGGGACTGCAGAACAAGCAAACTAAATAGATGCGGAAAGGATAAAAATTTAGGGAACTTGTTAACGGTAATTATGTGTTATGGTGTATGTACTTAAACTAACCCAAGATGATGGCTAAGTGCTTTAATGTTACTGGAAGTTTCTGTGAGTAATCTAAACATAATTCTTGGGAACAAATGATTTAAATAAAAATGGGTAAGAGTTTTCAGGTACAATAACTACGTTTTATGGTATAAACGCTTGAAAAACAGCTTCCAAAATCTTTTTGGTAACTTGAAACTTTAGAGTTTTGCTAAATTAAGTTAAACCATAAAAATTCATTGAGTATCTAGGTCATCTTCCAAACAAGATAACATATTAAAAGCTGATTACTAAACACAGATTTGTCTGCCTTTGGTTTCTTATGTCAAAGAAACTAAAAAATGCTTGGGTTTATTGATAAACATGTTTTGTACATGCTGAGGAATTTTCTATGAGAAAACACATATCTATTACAATCTCTATACAAGGAAAGTAAAATGTATGTTTTCAATAAAGAAGATATAAAGAAGAGCTATTTTTCCTTGTTTTGTTAAAAAAGATAAATTTGTCCTAAAGTACTAGGAAGGAAAAAAAAAAAGACATAGGACAAATTCTAAATGTAAAAAATAAGTAACAAAAGGTTTGCGAAAGTAAAACCTGGAGGAGTTTTGTGTATGGTCAAGTTGGCTGAGATTAAAATAAATAAGTTTCAATATCAAAAGTAAGGCAGTCACAAGAATAGCCACTGGCTCCAGTACGTGCAGAGGAGTGAGGACAGGCCAGGAGTGTGTCCAGCCAGGGCAGAAAGTGCCCGCGGGGGCAGGGAGAACATGGTGAATGCCTGGTCTAGCCACCCGCACCAGCACAAACAGCAGGCCGCCTCGACTCCACGCCCCTCCCTCCACTCCAGCGTGGCCCAACTGAGGCTGAGTGAGCCGCAGAGAGCAGGCTGCACAGCGACGGACTGCAGCCCGGGGAGCAGCAAGCACCCCTTGGGAAAAAGTGAGAAACAACCAAATGCTGTCTGGTGGCTTTAACAGCGCCCCCAGTGACAGCCTGGGAACACCCTAGCCCCCTCAGCTAGGGGGAGGGCCAAAGGACCTTGACCCATACCCGCAGCGCCGCGCAGGTGGCTCAGGTATTGGGGGACCAAACACCACACGTGGAAATAACGTCTTGGTCTACAAGAGCAAAAAGCATTTTGCTGTTGGGGATAGAAATGAGCAAAATGACTTCCATCACTTCCCGCCCCACCCTGCGACAATGCTTCTACAACACCGTCAATGGACAAAAGCCCCCAAGGTTGCCTTGTTTCATTACACAGATGATGTCATATTAACCTCTGAGTCTTTTCCAGACCTTCAAGAAGCCCCCAGCTCGCTCAACGCCCACCTATGCCGACGAGGATGGGTGGTGAACGACAACAAAGTGCAAGGGTCTGGGTTGTCTGTCAAACACTTGGGCGTTATCTGGTTGGAGAAGACAAAAGTGGTTCCTGCTACTGTCATAGCAACTGGATACAGATAACTGGCCTCTTTAAAAGTTGGTGCCAAAGGGTATGATCTGGGACTGGGGGACCATCCAGCAGGAGGCCTTCACCCAAACCCAAATAACAGTGAAACAAATCCAGTCCTTGGGTGTTTTAACACGATGACAACCATGTGAACTGGATGTTTCCAGTTACCCAGAGGGGTTCAGATGAGGTCTCTGGCAGAGGCACAGCAATAAAGAAGTGCCCCTCGACTTCTGGCCTCAACTGTGGAAAGGGGCTCCCCCTGCGGATGGCACAATGGGCACAACAAAAGTGGACCATTAATGGTCACCTGTTGTGGGGGACAGAACTCTAGGATGGTATCCGGCAGCAGGTCCGGGGAATGACGATAACAGTGTGCAGTGTGTCTGCACATCAGGCGACAATGCTACCAGGAAGCCAACAGAGGAGTTAGCTCAGACCCATCTCCTGGAAGAAGTGCCAACTGAAAGAGCGGCAGAGTGGCTACACAAGAAGACTGGGCACAAAGGACAAAGGACCTTCTGGGCTTTTGCCAGGGCCTGGGGCCTCCCCCTGTGCTATGCTGGTGTGGTGCAGGTCTGTCGGTGTGCCCTTCTTGTTCCTTGGAGAGACCCTGAGCCATTCCCAAGAACAGAGGCCAAATTGCCAGAGACAACCAGCCCACTCAACACTGGCAGATGGACTAGATCAGGCTCTTACCTCTTTCTCAGGGCTGCCAGTATGCTCTCACTTGTGTGGACACGTCTACAGGACTGCTACAGATATACCCCAACAGAGGGCCACTCAGAAGACCACCATGAGAGGCCTGGGACACCTCTGTGCTGTGTACAGTGTTCCCACAGACATTGACAGTGACCAAGGTACACATTTTGCTGCTCACCAGGCACAGACATGGACTGATCAGAAGGACATACAGTGGCATTTTTACCTGCCATACAACCCCACGGCTGCAGGGCTAGTGAAACAAACGAATGGCCCGCTGAAATAACTGAGTACAGAAAACAGGACCCTAGCCCACTGGAGATGCCTGGCAACCGCAATATGGCAAGTAAATGAACAGGAGAGGCAAACTCAACCCAGTGCATATCAGACGCTGACACAAACACTGATATGACAGCAGGTCTACAGACAAGGGCTAATCAAGAAGAGAAACTGCAACCACAGAGGGGCACTCACAACAACTTGCTTTTGCCTCTGCCACAGAACTCCCTACTGGGATCCATGTGGTCACTTGGCCCTGGGACTGGCAGGTGGGGCCCCGCTGCTGTGGTCTCTTAGCTCCTTGGGAAACAGGCTTAGAGCAGGTTATCACAGTGACACCCTTCATCATGGGGGGGCCACCCAAAACCTCCAAACTTACTAATCCAGGGCCTCCGATTTCTCAAGTACGTTCATCCTTTCCCTCTGGTGTGTTATATTAACTGGTGTGTTCCTCCTTCATGCTATACCACTGCCCCTGGGGCGCCCACACCAACTGCACAAGCGGTGTGGTATTGGTGGCCTGGCTTGAAACCACAGGCTGGTACCACACTGACTCAAGGCACTGCGACTGCATGCGTCTTGCTGGACGGCCATGACCTCCCTCTTCTGGTCCCCTCTAAACATCTTACTTTTCGTCCTTAGGACAATGTCTGCCAACCTTTTCGTTTCTTGGACACACCGTTACTGACATACAAAATCACTCCAATGCTGGGTCTGCAGCGAGCTGCCTCTCTCTTCAACCACAGGGTTACCATGGCGGCCCCAAGCTGCCAGCGCCTCTGACTGGAGGGCCCTGCGAGAGCGGAAGAGCGCCCCCTACTTTCCCACCCCTACCCACCCCCCATCAAGCAGCCTGTCCTCGCCTCTTACACTGCCACGCGAAAGTATATCTTCCAGCCTGTGCGTGAGCAAGCTAACGTAACTCCGAGGGTGGGGTGCTGTTTTTGATGCTGTAGGATGGTTCACTG